CCCGGCCCTCGCGGCGGCTCCCCTGACCCCGTCCGGCTCCCTGGTAACCCTTGGAGGTGGAGTCACCGTAACTAGCTCATAGGTGAGGAAACCGAGGTCGGGAGGGGGGAGCTGGTCCAGGCCCACGGAGGGGAGGGCAGAGTCAGGTTCACAGCTAGGTCTGACCTCAAACCTTGAGGCACCCCGCCCCGGGGGAGCACGCACCTCCCTTCCCGCAGGGAAAGCCACCGGGCCTGGAGGGGGAGCGGCATTCTCGCTCTTTCCTGGAGGAGCACAGGCCGGAGGTGTGCCCGCTTCCTCGCCAGAGGATCGATTCAACACGCCTTCCTACCGGCTCTGCCTCCCACCCAGGACAGGTAAAAGCACCCCCGCCCAGGACAGGTAAAAGGCAGCCTCCCACCCAGGACAGGTAAAAGCACCCCCCACCCAGGACAGGTAAAAGGCAGCCTCCCACCCAGGACAGGTAAAAGCACCCCCCACCCAGGACAGGTAAAAGGCAGCCTCCCACCCAGGACAGGTAAAAGCACCCCCCACCCAGGACAGGTAAAAGGCAGCCTCCCACCCAGGACAGGTAAAAGCACCCCCCACCCAGGACAGGTAAAAGGCAGCCTCCCACCCAGGACAGGTAAAAGCACCCCCCACCCAGGACAGGTAAAAGGCAGCCTCCCACCCAGGACAGGTAAAAGCACCCCCCACCCAGGACAGGTAAAAGGCAGCCTCCCACCCAGGACAGGTAAAAGCACCCCCCACCCAGGACAGGTAAAAGGCAGCCTCCCACCCAGGACAGGTAAAAGCACCCCCCACCCAGGACAGGTAAAAGGCAGCCTCCCACCCAGGACAGGTAAAAGCACCCCCCACCCAGGACAGGTAAAAGGCAGCCTCCCACCCAGGACAGGTAAAAGCACCCCCCACCCAGGACAGGTAAAAGGCAGCCTCCCACCCAGGACAGGTAAAAGCACCCCCCACCCAGGACAGGTAAAAGGCAGCCTCCCACCCAGGACAGGTAAAAGCACCCCCCACCCAGGACAGGTAAAAGGCAGCCTCCCACCCAGGACAGGTAAAAGCACCCCCCACCCAGGACAGGTAAAAGGCAGCCTCCCACCCAGGACAGGTAAAAGCACCCCCCACCCAGGACAGGTAAAAGGCAGCCTCCCACCCAGGACAGGTAAAAGCACCCCCCACCCAGGACAGGTAAAAGGCAGCCTCCCACCCAGGACAGGTAAAAGCACCCCCGCCCAGGACAGGTAAAAGGCAGCCTCCCACCCAGGACAGGTAAAAGCACCCCCCACCCAGGACAGGTAAAGCCCCCCAGAGCCTCAGCGGGGGAAGCTCCCGGCTCCTTGGGGGTTAGTGACTAAGACTTCCAGGTCCATGGGAATGACCCTCCGGACCTGCGGGAGGAGAGAGAGGAGGCCTCCCTGACTATCAACCAACTCCCTAGGCTTCTCGGGTGGAGACCGGGTGGGAAGGGGGGACATCGCATGGAGTGGCTGTAAGGACGGGCCCTGCACCCTAGGGAGCCTGGGGGAAGTTCCTGAGGCTGCGGGTGGTCACAGGAGGGACAGCTGCTGAGAGCGGGCGCCTGAAGTTCCCATTGGAAATGTAACAGCCTGGAGAGATGGGATGGAGGGAGGCGGGAGGGCCGCCGCTGCACCCACTATGAGCTGGAAGGGGGTGTAGTTTGGGGTCTGCAGAAGCCCCCGGGGAGTTCTCAGACCGCCTCCGGGAGAGGACCCCACGGCTGGCAGGACCTCCCACCTCGCTGGCAGGCCTCTAGAAGGTTCTGCTTAAATGTGAGAAAATAAACAAGAAGGAGCCATTGCCTGGCCTGGGGGTGTCAGGGGGGGTTCCTGCAGGTCGCCACCTGGTGACGGAAGAGGAGGGAAGGGCAGGGGCCCTGAGACCCTCCGCCTGCAGACGCAGGATGGAAGGACTCTTTGATCGCTTAGGAAGGTGGCAGGCACCTTGGCCAGGTCTCCAAGGTAACACGGCCCCGCCCCAACGGGACAGCTGACCCCTGGCCTCTCTGCCCAGCTCCCCACTGGTCACGCTGCCTGCAGAGGAGCCAGGTATCGGGGTGCAGAGTGGGCGGCCACAAAACACACTTATGCTGCACTGTGTGCCCGACCCTGTGCCCAGAACCTGGCTGGGCCCTCCCCTCCTGCCCCCAGGGGCTCTGGGAGGAGGGTGGGGGTGAAGGTGGACCAATCCCTTCTCCCTTCTGGGTCCAGTTGACCTTGTAGCTGTGCTCCCTGGAAACCACACCTGTGGACCATTGGCTGTGTTACTAGGCAACCACCACCACAACAACCCTGAGGGGGTGCACCTCACCTGGGCGCCAGGGCTTGGCTGCCAGAGCGCTGAGGTTCCCTGAGAAGAACGGCTCTTGGAACCGGGCCTGTCCCTGGCAGGGGCCTTGGAAGCGACGTCTGGACGGTCACACAAATGCTGGCTCCCGTCGGCGACTCTGGTCCTCCAGGCAGGGGCAGCTCCCGTACCTGCCTGCGGGAGCCTCAGCCCTCACACCTGAGCCGTCTCGGAGACGGGCTCCTGGTCCCGTGGGCTGTACGGTCTCCGTTGAGGACGCCTCCCACCGAGGGAGCAGGGTGCACCTGCTGCGTCTCCTGCCAGGGCTCAGGAGGCCTGTGGGCTGCTAGTGGTGCCCAAAGAAGCGGTCTCATGGGGCGCCACAGGGAGACCGCCCCCCACCCCGCCCCCGCCCCCAGCCACAGCTGAAGAAACTGAGACGCAGAGTGTCCGCTGCAGGGAGGCGGCCGGGCTGCGAGTGGACCTGCGCAGGTCTGACTTCAAAGTCCGCGCCCTCCCAGCCCTGCCTCTGAGTGTGAGGGCGAGCAGACAGCAGGTGGACACCGGGTGGCATGAGGGCCACACTCCTGCCCCCTCCCGCAGCGGGCAGAGGACCCCGACCACAGGAACTGCTTCCCCGAGGCCCAGCGTGCCTCCTGGTGTCTGCCAACTCAGGCAGCGAAGCAGGGTTTCTCTGCACTGCCTGGGCCCCAGAGAAAGCAGACAGGGTCTACGGTCTTCACTCCCCATGTGGTCCCACACGCCCATCCCCACCGGAGCGCTCAGATGCCTGGGTTTTCAAGCAAAGACATCGGTTCAGTCATGTTTGCTCACTAAATGTTGGTAAGTCGTGGGGGCTGGTGTAGCAGGTGCTTTGGGTTTAGATTAAAAAGAGAACAAGTATTTCTCAGCTGTTCTGGGCGTTTTCTTAGGCCCCAATCCTTTGATTTGGTTGGAACATCCCTCCCCATGTGCCTGGGATGCCCCCTCTGTGCCAGTCGCCATCCTTCTCCCTCCCTGGGTTTGCCCTTCCGAGAACTCTCCGCTCTTCTATTGGGTCCCCTCGCCCACGGCTCCTTCAGTGGCCTGAACTTCAGACATTTTCGTTTTCGCCAAAGGTTCTTCTCACCAGATATCCCAGGATGGCCGTGCCGCCCCACAGGCACAGAGCAGCGATTCCCATCCTTGGGATCAAGCCGTCCTTGCCTTCCTCTGCCTCTTCCAACACTCGTGGCTGTCCTTCCCTCCGCACTCACTGCTTTCTATTCCACGTGATCTAGCCTGTCCAAAAGTCTTCCTTCCAAAAGTGTGGGAGTCGACAGACATGTGAGCAGGAGCCTTCTTCTGGAAACGATGCCCCCACCTCCCACCCCGCCCCCCAGGAGAACAGCAGCAACAATGCCCGAAAGTCTTCTCCAGGACCCCTCCTAGACTTGCCTCTCACCAGATGGTGCCCTGGCCTCCTCGGCTGCCCCACTCTGTCCTTCTGGGAGGCTGGACTCGGCGTCTGGTCTCTGCCCGCTCCCCGGAGGCTGTAGGAGAGCGGCCTGGTCTCAGACCATTGCAGAAGGAGCGTCATTCCCAGCGTTTCTTCCTCTTGCACATTACAGCCAAAATGAAAGACAGTCCCAGTGTGGTCAGCGGGGGCCTGTCCTCCCAGTCCTCACGCCATATGGCCCCAGGCACTGTCATGCTCTGGGACTTCTCCACGTCACACACATGAGAGCGATGGAAACTGGAGTTCCCTGGGGTCCGCCCTCCGCAGCGGGCGAGGTTCCAGCCCCCCCTCTCTGGCCGGCAACTGCTGATCCAGTTGCACACACATCTGGAGGGTTTTGTGGATGGGGCTTGGCTTTGGGTTCAGTTCACAGGGACACTGGCCAGTCCCTCTGGGTGCCCAGGGCACCGTCCACGGAGACATATGTACATGGTCTGCGTCCGCCAGCAGGCGGAGCGCCCGGGCAGGGACGGGCTGTCCCCAGGCGCGCAGACGCTCTCCTGGGGTTCAGTTTCTGCTAATTGCACTTAGTTCCCTGGAAGTCAGGTCTCTGCCCCTTGGGCTCTTGAAGGTCCCCTGTGGGGACTCACGTGGCCCCGAGCTTGACACGATCCCCATCATTCCTGCAGAACTCCTACAGCTCGGCTGGCCGGGGCCGCTGTCGATCCAAAAGGCCCCCCTTGGAGCCGTCGTCAAGTATGTGGGTTCTGGTCCCAGTCTCTGCGTGTGGAATAGCTTGTGAATTTTGGTTTGAGTGGGGTTGGGGTTGCCATAGGGCCTCAGTTCATTCCATAAGCTCTTTTTCTATCCTGTAGAAGGAAAAAATAATGTGATGTGATGCAGGAACCAAGGGGTAATTAAAATGGTTGGAGGAGCCCCAGGCTTATCTGCCCCCATCTGCCCAACTGCTGTCCTGCTCCAGCTGAGCCCACCGGGGACCTTCCCCCAAATCCAGGGGAGGAGGAAACAGGACCCAGATAGCCTGCCCTGCAGGACCCACCCCACCCTCACCCCCATGGCTTCCCACCCCCATGGCTTCCCCACCCCCATGGCAGTCAGACATCCCTCTCACAATCCAGGACCGCTGGCTCCTAACTGCTCGCCTGACTGCCTACCTGATCGCCCCTAACTGCTCCCCTGCTTGCCTGATCACCCCTAACTGCCTCTGCCTCACCCTCCACCACCGCAGCTTTGTCCGGAAGGATGTCCGGAAGGTCATTCAGGCTAATTAGCATATTACATTTTTATTTGTATAGATCAGCGGTTCTCAATCCGTGGGTCGAGACCCCTTTGGGGGTCGAACGACCCTTTCACAGGGGTTGCCTAAGACCATCGGAAAACACATATATAATTACATATTGTTTTTGTGAGTAATCACTATGCTTTAATTATGTTCAATTTGTAACAATGAAATCGGGGGTCACCACAACATGAGGAACTGTAGTAAAGGGTCGCGGCATTAGGAAGGTTGAGAACCACTGGTATAGGTGAAAGGATACCAACCCCAGGTCTTGGCTTCCTGCA